TTGAGAACCTAAGTCCCAGGACAATGTTTTGCAACTGTTTTTCATTAAATTAGAGCTTGCCATGGCTTTAAAGAGCATATCAAATGATTCCAGGTAACACATTGATGGCAAACAAATTACAGCATTGTAGGAGAGGAAAGGAACTACTGAAAAGATTGGAGGTGGTTAGTTAAAGCATTGCAGGTGATACATTAATATGGTCTCTGAATGTTTTGGCAACTTTTCATATTCAAGTTCCACCTAACGTCACCATTTGATTTGGGAAGAACCCTCAGTTTTAAAATTTTATAGCAAACATCATTAAAGGGACACCATAGTAACCCAGAACACTTCAGCTCAATGGAGTGGTCTGGGTGCCAGGTCCCCCAGGTTTTAACCCTTCAGATGTAAACATAGCAGTTTCAGAGAAACTGCTATGTTTACATTGCAGGGTTAACCCAGCCTCTAGTGGTTGTCTTCCTGACAACCGCTAGAGGCGTTTCTGCGATGCTGGATGCGAAAATCGCATCCACCGTGCAGAATGTCCATAGGAAAGCATTGAGAAATGCTTTCCTATGGACTGTTTGAATGCGCGCACGGCTCTTGCCGCACATGCGCATTCCGCTCCACTCAGGAGCCGACGTCGAAGAGGGTTAAGGTAAGTAACTGAAGGGGTTTTAACCCCTTCAGCGCCAAGGGAGGGGGGCCCTGAGGATGGGGGGGGGGTACCTAAGGGTTGTATAGTGTCAGGAAAACACTTTTCCTGACACTATAGTGATCCTTTAAGTTCTTAAATTACAAGAAATTCCTCTGTGGAACACAATGCAAGCGTTAAAAATCTTCACTAGAACCGCTGTGTGTTCAAATAAAACCCATGGCGTGCTCTCCTTCTTATACTTATTTAGCTAGTGGAGGAGGTGATATATTGTATCGAACACGGTTTGTTCCTTCCCAGTAAACACAGAGAATTAAAATAATGTGCTATTTATGGAAGCCATATCCTAGAGCAATAAATGTTAAGCACCACACTGAGAGAATTCTGAACACACACCAGACTTTTGTACCATCTGGTTAGAGTAATACTGAAAAATAATCCTTAAACTAAGCCAACATGCATGGGGCAGTGGGCACTAACACTGCATGATGGTATCAAACCTAATGTAAATACAGTCTATATCTATTTAATGTTATTAGTCCTCACAAATATATAGATGTATACACCATCTGCCATGCTTTAATATAGAATATAATATAACAAATATATACAAATCTATTCTCAAAATATACAGTCAAATTCTGTATTTAATATATTTAGATAGTTTAGATATATCAGATAATTTAATCTAAATACAAGAGGGGATTTGCAGAATATATTTTTGTCACTTGATAAAGAAAGTGACTCGGGAAAGTTTGTCTTCCCAAAATATTGTTTGGTCCAATACAAATGTGGGAAATTCAAGTTAAGTGACAGATCCTATATTCTGAATTTCGGAAGTAGTCAGGATCAGCGTCTTACTGGCATTTGCAGTCTACAGAACAGAGATGATATCACATTTTCCTCTCTACCTTTTCAGCAAATTGCTGATGTTTTGGGAGCTTTTCTTGTGATGTGTCAATAAATGCTAATAAATATAACAAGGAACAAAGCCCAGCCACAAAGTGATAGACTATACATACTCACAGAGTGGAGGCACAGAGTGTTGAAGCGTGTAGTGTGTGGAAATAGCCTAACATCCATTACATCAATCACTACAGAGATCCAAACTGCTTCTGGAAGCAACAACAGCACAAGAATTGTGCATCGACTGCTTAATGAAATGTGTTTCCATGGCTGAGCAGATATACACAAGCTTCAACATGTGCAGTGTCAAGCATCAGCTGAATTGGTGTAAAGTATGCCGCCATTATACTCTGGAGCAGTGGAAATGTGATCTCTGGAGTTATCAATCACTCTCCGACTCCGTAATATTGTAGTGTGATGGAAGACTCAAGGTGTGGTGGAATACATAATGCCTACTGTAGAGTTTGGTGGAGAATGGCTAATGATTACGGCTGTTTTTCAGGGTTTGAAAAAAGCAGAATCTGATTTTAAGAACAATTATAGTATTTAATAATAATAAATAGCAACAGCTTACAAACCATTAACAAAGAAAAAACAACTTTAAATTTGTCTACAAAAAGTGAATTAAAGGTTTCCTACGTTAGAGAGAGAGATTTTCAAAAGCCTTTGAAGTTACAATTGCAAAGTAGAAATGGCTCAGAATGATGCGAGTTATAATTTAAAGAAATTGAAGTTATATGTGCAGCACAGACATGCAACCTCTACCAACTTGGCAAATAGGCATTTAATTCCTAACATACTAAACCAGAAGCTGAATTAGCATGATAAAGCAGTAATCATATTGTTATGTAAACTGCAAATCTGGGATGTAGCTATCAAACATAGACAATACTCCTAATAAGTGTGGGAAAGGGGAGGCAGCAAGTCAAGGCAGACTGCATCAGTCATGGTTTTTGGTTTTGATGTTAACTGGAACAACGCCACAGGACATACGTTAAACAGGACAGGGGGCCAGAAAAACAGGACTGTTCTGAGAAAGGTATTCTTGAGTAACAATATATGCAGGTCTAAATACAATTGATTTATCTACAGCATAAACACAATTTCTCTTCCTTGAAGGTTCTGTAGTAGAATGTCTGATTCTGGATAAGGAATTAAGAGGAAACGCTTTTAGTAGACACTAGCTTACCGTATCTTGATGAAATCTTTCAGATGGTCGCTCACGCCAATCAGCTTACAGAAATTAATTGTATATGATGCATTGGTCAAAGTTACTTTTTTCTTGTATGTTTTGCCCACTTCCAGGTCCTGAGTAAAGAGACATAAGCTATAGTAAGTAGAAGGTGAACATTCAAAAAAGAAATAATCGACAAGCTCACACCACAAAAAAACAAACAAACATCATAAAAACTCAATGAATAATTGGTGAATATACGAATATAAAACAGTGCTATTAAAAGCAGACATTTGGACAACCTTCAAATATGCAATATAATGTGAAAACTATAAAGTATATGTAAACAAAATACATATAATTAAGTGAACCAGGAAAAAAAAAAAAAAGGACAAAAAGTCAGACGATATACAGTACATTTCAAGTACAGCAAAACCATCCCTGGAAGTGGGAATATGGCACACTTTGATAGCTAATGCTGTAAATCAAATCTTTGTATTGTGTAATAGGCCTTTCTAAGAGGACCGCTATGATCTTTCTATCGGGTTAACTGCCTTAATAGAATAGTAGCCACTATCTATCTTTTGAGCGATCTACCTTAAAGGAAGTAGTCAAACTGTTGTTGAATGGTCCACCAGCAGCCACCATTACTAACACTGGAAGTTCCTAATTAGGAAGTTCATTGAGCTTTAGAAAGGTCTACCTCATTAGCTGACAGCATTAACTAGTCGCTCTCAGAAAGTGAGATAAGCCCTGCACTGCTATGGAGAGCTAAGAGAAGAATCAGCCTCTATATTAATAGTGAAGGCATTGAGCAATATCCAGTAGACTCCATAGAAGAAATCAAACCATTCAAACGTGGTTTAACTACTTACAGTGGTAAGCTCCAAGGGTACAGTGAGTTGTAGTGGTTATGGTCCTTGCAGTACTCTTTTAATGGGGTGCAGAACCATCTATTGTGTGTGCGCGCATCTTTTACCTGCAATATACTTGTTTTTCTTTGCAACCAAAAAAAAAAAAAAAAAATTCTTGAATATAAACCCCTATTTACATTTTCTGGAGAAGTACATATATATAGGCTAAGCCTGCAAACCTAAAGTACAACTGGTCAATTTGAAAACTCTCCGGTGTTATTACAGTTGCAAGAAAAAGTATGTGAACCCTTTGGAATGATATGGATTTCTGCACAAATTGATCATAAAATGTGATCTGATCATCATCTAAGTCACAGCAATAGACAATCACAGTCTGCTTAAACTAATAACACACAAAGAATGAAATGTTGCCATGTTTTTATTGAACACACCATGTAAACATTCACAGTGCAGGTGGAAAAGTATGTGAACCCCTAGACTAATGACATCTCCAAGAGCTAATTGGAGTGAGATGTCAGCCAACTGGAGTCCAATCAATGAGATGAGATTGGAGGTGTTGGTTACAACTGCCCTGCCCTATAAAAAAAAACATACCAGTTCTGGGTTTGCTTTTCACAAGAAGCATTGCCTGATGTGAATGATGCCTCGCACAAAAGAGCTCTCAGAAGACCTACGATTAAGAATTGTTGACTTGCATAAAGCTGGAAAGGGTTATAAAAGTATCTCCAAAAGCCTTGCTGTTCATCAGTCCACGGTAAGACAAATTGTCTATAAATGGAGAAAATTCAGCACTGCTACTACTCTCTCTAGGAGTGGCCGTCCTGTAAAGATGACTGCAAGAGCACAGCGCAGACTACTCAGTGAGGTGAAGAAGAATCCTAGACTGTCAGCTAAAGACTTACAAAAGTCACTGGCAAATGCTAACATCCGTGTTAGCGAATCTACAATATGTAAAACACTAAACAAGAATGGATTTCATGGGAGGATACCACAGAGGAAACCACTGCTGTCCAAACAAAACATTGCTGCACGTTTACAGTTTGCACAAGAGCACCAGGATGTTCCACAACAGTACTGGCAAAATATTCTGTGGACAGATGAAACCAAAGTTGAGTTGTTTGGAAGAAACACACAACACTATGTGTGGCAAAAAAAAAGGCACAGCACACCAACATCAAAACCTCATCCCAACTGTGAAGTATGGTGGTGGGGGCATCATGGTTTGGGGCTGCTTTGCTACGTCAGGGCCTGGACGGATTGATATCATCGAAGGAAAAATAAATTCCCAAGTTTATCAAGACATTTTGCAGGAGAACTTAAGGCCATCTGTCTACTAGAGATGTCGCGAACCGTCCGCGAACTTCCCGCGAACTCCGGTCAGCTGACACATCTCGGCCAATCTCCAGCAGACCCTCCCTCCCAGGCCCTCCTACTTCCTGGACAGCATCCATGTTGAAGGCAGCTGGATGCTGTCCAGGAGGTGGGAGGGCCTGGGAGGGAGGGTCTGCTGGAGATTGGCCGGGATGTGTCAGCTGACTGGAGTTCGCCGCGAACCGCGGCGAACCGTTCACGGGAAGTTCGCGGACGGTTCGCGACATCTCTACTGTCTACCAGCTGAAGCTCAACAGAAGATGGATGTTGCAACAGGACAATGACCCAAAGCATAGAAGTAAATCAACAACAGAATGGCTTAAACAGAAGAAAATACGCCTTCTGAAGTGGCCCAGTCAGAGTCCTGACCTCAACCCGATTGAGACCAGACATCCCAAGAATATTGCTTAACTGAAACAGTTCTGTAAAGAGGAATGGTCAAGAATTACTCCTGACCGTTGTGCACGTCTGATCTGCAACTACAGGAAACGTTTGGTTGAAGTTATTGCTGCCAATAAAGGAGGTTCAACCAGTTATTAAATCCAAGGGTTCACATACTTTTTCCACCTGCACTGTGAATGTTTACATGGTGTGTTCAATAAAAACATGGCAACATTTCATTCTTTGTGTGTGATTAGTTTAAGCAGACTGTGATTGTCTATTGTTGTGACTTAGATGATGATCAGATATCATTTTATGACCAATTTGTGCAGAAATCCATATCATTCCAAAGGGTTCACATACTTTTTCTTGCAACTTTAGATATAGGCTAAGCCTGCAAACCTAAAGTACAACTGATCAACTTGAAGACTCTCCGGTGTTATTATTTCTCTATGGTGGTCATTAGTCTCAGAAAACCGTGAAACTGGTACCTGAAGTCAAATAATAATATTAATAATGACAAATAATTTTCATATTGTTACGGGAGGCATATAATGGTTTGTAAGTGCATCATTTCAGTTTTCCTGCACTAACCTTAAAGTGAATGACATTAGGTTTACTATAAAAGGGACATCCCTTAAACTCATGTCCTGAAACCACTTGCTTTTCAATGATTCCACTTCGGAGTTTCTTCAGGGTCTCAGTCATTATTACTTTCTCCATTTTACTGCCCCCTAGTGGCTTAGATTCAATTTCTTCTTTTGGCACCTATTAAAACAATAACAAAAAAATATTACGGATATTATATAAAACCTTGTAAACTTATGTAGCAATTCTTTCCTAATTGGCTAACAGCCATATGTAGAATAAAACTATCCTTCCATATAATTATTATCTAGTTAAAAAAATGAAAACAATAGTTGCGACCACAACTGACATAGCAAAGTAAACAATTTAATAAAGTAAGTAAACTTGTAACATAATTGATTAAAGTAAAATTATTTATTTGTGTATTATCCATAATTTTCTAAATCATACCTGTCATGGTACACACATTGTTATAAAATCATAGCATAGACTATTCAGTTTATACATTGTGCCAATACTATTTTCAGACAGGTTTCTACAAGAGAGAATGGTGGGATTTAAAGTCCACAGGAACTGGATTGCAGATACACCTAAACTGTTTTAGGTAGTTCCCCTAACATTTAGTACACCATAATCCTTAGTATCCCAGAATCCACAAGCACTCCCTTAATGCTGTGATGCTTCAATGACACCTATAGGGTTATTTAATAAAGTAAAAATTCGAAGGGAATTCAAAGTAAATATCAAATTTAAGGCCAGACAAGCTTCACTGACTTATAGAATTTTTTTCTCTTGACTTTTTTGACCTTAACCCCTTAAGGACACATGACATGTGTGACATGTCATGATTCCCTTTTATTCCATAAGTTTGGTCCTTAAGGGGTTAAACTTGAAATTCGCTTGGGAGTTACCTTGAATCCTCACTTTAGCGAAATACCCTGTACGTTATAATAAACGCTGAGCCATTCCAGAAATCTTAAAATATAGCTCGGAACATTGAAGTTGCCTTTTTAATGGATAACATACAAACTAGCAATGGTGGAAAATTCTTCAATTCATCTTTACACCCAATGTTGTTATTTTGCTCTAACCTTTTCAAATTAATTTTTCAATTTGTCATAATTCACTGCTTAGTGAATACACCAATTAACATGCAGATTTCTAAATAGGTGTAGATTTAACAGCTGTTGCTAAAAACAGAAATGTGTTTGTGAAGTTTTCTTGAAAAAAAATCAAAACACAACAAATCCCAGGCGGCTGTCATATCCCCAGCTAATCTAACAGCCTGGTTCTCTTTCATAAATCAAGCAGACCAAATAAAAGATGATTTGATATACGACTTTGCAATCACTTGAACGGAAAGAAAAAGCAGGATAATCAAGTTGATGTGAGGGATCGATATGTAGACACATATCCATGGCTTACTAAAATGGTCAATCATTTCGAATCAAAGCTTATCTTAGGAGCAGCCAAAGCATTTAAGGCAGTTTGACATGGTGACCAAACACATACTAAACTACGATTTGTTGTAAATTTAGCTAAAGTGATTGATCTAAAGTCATGTTCCAACTTATTTATAGTTACATCTTGTCTAATTTAGCTTTAAATGTGCCGTTCAGATTCCATTTCATTAGAATTCAGAGTTTTAATGAATAACTGCTAATTTTGTGAGAGTTATTGGAATGCAAATATATAAAAAGTAAGGATTAAGTATTATGCACAGCTGACTGCTAAGCAACAGAATCCATATATTTTCTGAAACGTATCTCTAAAAATTACATTTCCAGATATTTGTCTTATAAATATATCTATGGGCTATGATTGATTGGAAGATACTAAGCCCAGGATTTTGATTTTGCATGCTGACTTCCTGACAATCTATTGGACTGTGGAAGGGAATAGTCTAATGTCTTGGTTCAATAATCAATTTTAGACTGTGAATAACGGGCAATGCAGTGTAAGATAAAATATTATCTCCATAATTACATTATGACTGTGTATGGTAATACTGTGTCTTCAGCCAGCCTGAAAGGTACTAATAAAATATTACATTAAACAAATCCCAACTTTTTAAATAGCCAAAGGGGGAGGGAGCACATATTTGTTTGGGGGGAGGAGGGTGCCCATGGTTTGGGCTACTTGAGGGGATTTCAGGTGACGTCATGACCTATCTATAGCCATTTAGGTAATTGAAAATATTATTTGAAATAAGACAGAATAATTTATTAACATGTTACTGTAGTTAAATTCACATTATACACATTCATATACACCACCAAGTTACAGATCCTAGGAAAAGGGTAAATTAGGAGATAAAAGAGAGAGTGATGAATTTGGGTCTAAAATAGGCATTTAAATGGACATTCCAGACCCATAAAGCACTTTAGCTTGCTGAAAAGCTTTATGTGTTAGCTTATTTGCACTGAACTCAAGAGGCAGTAATTGCCCAGAGCACCTTGCAAAGACTTCTCATTGTGCTGCATTGGAAGCCTGTGATTGGACAGCCACAGAAAGTCTGGGTGGGGTTAGAAGAGGAGGGATTGCAAAGGCTGCAGACAAGAGAATTGCAGAATTTGCCAGCTGATTTTAGATATACCTCCAATAAATGCATGTTTTCATTTGGGGTGTATCTACTAAACATTTTTATTTACTATGTAATTGGGCAGTGGAGTGTCCCTTTAAGGGACATTTGACATCTGAAAGGCCCAAATCACTCTAAAACCACTGGAAACTTGGTATTATGAAAATTATTGGTTAACGATGTCCTCTTCAGATCTGTAACACAGAGAGCATTCAACCACTCATATTCACAAAAATGGAAAAATTATTTAACACATTTTCCTAAATCTGCCTTAAACCCTATGCTTACCTTAAAAAAGTTAGCTTTTTTTGCTTATAGCAGAGATATTTTGCTGCATTTTAGTTATAATTCAGTTGCAATTTGACACGTGTTTTTTGTTTTGTTTTTTTCAAATTAATCTCATTAAAGCAATCATATCTATCTGAAAATACCATTAATCACTGAAATTTACTTTGCAAACCAAACTGAAGATGGCGGAGCTAAATGAAAATCACCAAATTTGCAATAGCAACTTGGTATTTAGTGACTGGACCCCAGAATTCCAATCACGGTCAGTGACCAGTCAATGCACAGAAGAGAAGAAATTAATATCGGCCCCTGCATCAATTATAATGAAGACCTAAACATGTATTTAAATTAAAACCTGGATGGCGTTTACACATATGTTTGCAGTTCAGGCTAAGTGCTTTACATATAAATGGAAAATCCCTAGAATACTGCTCAGTGTTGTAATCTTTAACCCACATAATGTATTGTGTAAACTAATTTGTTTCTTCACATTTAAGACAAACCAACAGCACAATGCTTTTTTCTACCTTATAAGGCATGAGATCCTGATCCCATAATCCCATAAACTCTGGTTGAACAAGAGTTTCACTTTCTTCTTGTTCCACATACGTGAATTCTGGAACCTTATCTGGATACATTTCACTGGAGCTGCTCTCATCTTCATCAGATGACAAACTGGAAGGAGATCTCCACCTCTTCTGTAAAAATATACAGCTTTAAATATCATTACTATACTGTATTGTGTGCATTGTTATGCGAAAGAGGATGCTCTCTTGGGTATGTAAAGCCTTGTGGACTAAGCACACTCGTATAGAATAGCGCTTGTTATCTGCACCAGTGTACCCCAAAAATATAATTACTAAAAAAAGGTGTGGTGGCCAAAAACAACCATGTGGTATGATGGGTAGAGATACGTGACACACACCTCCGTACAGGGGGACAGCAATGTAAAAATATGGCCTCTTATTATGTATAAATAATGAAGGCTGTATAAAATTTCTGGTTCTCAAATAACATAATCTGTATTTGTTGCCCCTTTCGATGATCTATATCCATCTACTTGGCTCAATGGCAGGTGGTGTTGTTAACCAATTAAACTAAAACATTTCTGTTCTAATTTCCTTATTCTGCTATCCCACTTATGTGATTACCTAGCCAATTCAGAGCAGATAGTTCGGGATTCACAGCCCTGGCAACAATCACCCAGAGCAAGAGATTCGCAGAAACAAAGATGTAGCAATTTGTCCTAATATTTGCAGTGTCTCGCCATTTTTTTATACTCACCGTTACTGTAACTTCTT